GGTGTGTGTGAGAGTGAGTCGGTCCCGGGGGGTGGCGGGGCCTGGAGGGGGGCCGGGGTGTCCCCTCAGTGCGGTGGGCAGCGGGGTTTGGTTTGGTTTTCCAAGAGGTGTCTCCTCTGCACCGGAGGTGTCAGAAATTGGAGATTTCCCCTCATAACTCGCTCCAATAAAGAGATTAAAACCAAAACGCAGCAGCAAAAATATTATTGAAAGTATACAATTTATGAAAGTAACGTAAAGACAAGCAACGTGTATCATATCCGTGATGAATAGCAGAGTTCCCAATCTTTTCCAGCGTTATTCCCAACTGTCAGTTCAGATCAAAGACTGCACGCTTGAAAACCTTTACGGCAAACCAACTGGATGAAATTAAAGATCCCTCTGGTCTTTTCTATATTCTCCCTTTTCAGAAAGTAAGTAAGATATCCTGAGTTTAACATTATAGTCAAATGTAAATTGCTGTTTCAAGGAATACTTTTCATACAATATGCCTCAGCTGTAGGGTTATATGTAGTATCATACAAGAATCAAATTCAGCAGCGCAACCTTTGCAGTCATAGAATCGTTTAGTTTGCAGAAGACCCTTAAGATCATCAAGTCCAACTGTAAACCTGACCCTGTGAAGTCCACCACTAAACCATGTCCCTGAGCACCACGTCTACATGCCTTTTAAATACTTCCAGGGATGGTGACTGAACCACTTCCCTGGGCAGCCTGTTCCAGTGCTCAGCAACATATTTGGTGATGACATTTTTCCTAATGTCCAATCTAAACCTGCCCTGGCGCAACTTGAGGCCATTTCCTTTTGTCCTATTGCTTGCTACTTGGGAGAGAGACCAACCCCCACTTCCCTACAACCTCCTTTCAGATAGTTGTAACGAGCAGTAAGTTCTCCTCTCAGCCTCCTTTTCTCCAGGCTAAACAGCCCCAGTTCCCTCAGCTGCTCCTCATAAGACTTGTTCTCCACACCCCTCACTTTGTTGCCCTTCTCTGGATGCACTCCAGCACCTCAAGGTCACTCCTGTAGTGAGCGGCTCAGAACTGAACACAGTATTCGAGATGCAGCGTCACCAGTGCTGAATACAGGAGGATGATCACTTCCCTAGTCCTGGTGGCCGTGCTATTTCTGATACAGGCCATGATGATGTTGGCCTTCTTGGCCACCTGGGCACACTGCTGGCTCATATTCAGCCACCTGTCGACCAACGCTCCCAGGTCCTTTTCCATCGAGCAGCTTTCCAGACACTCTTCCCCAGGCCTGTAGCGCTGCACGGGGTTGTTGCAACCCAAGCGCAGGACCTGACACTTGGCTTTCTTGAACCTCATACCATGGGCTTCCGCACATCAATGCATTTTTTTACCCAGGGAAGAGCATGCCCGTCCAAGCCATGAGCAGCCACTTTCTCCAGGAGAATGCTGTGGGAAACGGTGTTAAAGGCTTTACTAAAGTCTAGGTAGGCAACATCCACAGCTTTTCCCTCATCCACTAAGCGGGTCACCTTGCTATAGAAGGAGATCAGGTTTGTCAAGCAGGACTTGCCTTTAATAAGCAGATGCTGACTGGGCCTGATCACCTGCTTGTCCTGTACGTACCATGTGATGGCGCTCAAGATGATTTGCTCCTTAACGTTCACCGGCACTGAAGTCAGACTGACAGGCTTGTGTCAGAGAATAATATATATAGGAAACACAATTTACATTGTTTCTGTAGTGTAGTAATTAAGACATTGATGGGGAATATTAGCAACATTTTTTTGTCCTATGTAGCATTTAGTCCTTAGCATAGAAATGTGAATTTAGACATTTTTACTCTCAAATGTCTTTATATTACCAGTCTGTCAATCACTTGACTTTTTTTTATTTCTAGTAATTGTTTGGGTTTTTTTAAGTATGTTTTTATTTTCTAAAATACTGTATTTTTTTTTCTAAATTCTGCAGGGTTACTTGGTGAACTGGGATGTCCAGAGACAGGTTTGGGATTATCTTTTTGGAAAAGAAATGTATCAAGTAAGAGCTTTTTTTTTTTTTTTCCATTATAGATTTTGTGTAGGTTAAATACAGACTAACGGAATTAACATAAGTACATCAAATATTAAATAGAACTGGTGAGCTTACTGTTCTTTTTAAGAGTCCCTTCAATTAGAAATCACAGGGATTTGATTTTTTGCAAACTGAAGAAAATTTTTACTTTGAGCTCTGGTGTAGGAATTTAAAAAACATTTAAATTTTTCAGTCATGTGTGATCATACTGAGTTCAGTTCATATATGTTAAGAAATTCATATCAATATAATTAAGAGTTCAAGTTAGTGAAAAATAATAATTATAGTCAGATACAGCATGGTTTAGAGATCAAGAAACTGTTGATGTAAAAGAGTGATGAGCTAGGTCAGTAGGCCAAAAGACAGACACATTAAGTAACAATCTTTGGCAAACGATTTTCTGCCTATGGGTAAGTTGAGTATATAAAATATAAATATCTGATACTTAATTTTTCTTACTTGTCACACGAACTGGATTTAGCACAAGAAGTGTAGTAAGGCTTCCCTTTTAATTTTTCTTTAAAAAAAAGTATTGTTATATACTCTGAAAGTTTTTGGTTTTTTGTAACACCTAGGAGGCAGAATGGTCCTGAGAATGAAAGCAATGCCTCAAACTATCCTACTCTCCCTACATAAAAATATACAGTGCTGGCTTTTGATACTTAGCTTTCATTTTAATTTTAGAATTAAATTAAATTTAGTCATGGTTGCAAGGAAAATTTATTTTTAATTCTGTTTCATGAGTTAAGAGAGATGCAGCTGGTAATACATTTAGGGCCATATCCAGTTATGATTGAAGTAACCTTTTGAAGTCCTTTTTAAAGGAGTCTGAGATATCAATAAATGTGGAAAGTCTGGGATCTTTTGCTGGCCTCATTAGAGGTCACTGGAAGTTTTATTATTGGTTCTACTTTGCACAGGACTGTGATGCAAGTGCTGAGCTGTTGAAGAGACTTATCTTTCTGTAGTTGACAGGATTAGTGTAAAGTATCTTAGGTTAGTATGTAGTGTTCCTTTACGGTTACCTCTTTAGAATGTTGTTCTGCAGTTCTGCAGGAGCACAATATGTATGAAGGTGTTCCCTTCATATGTTTTCACCAATCAATTTGACAAAGCTGTATCACTGGTCATGAAGTCTTTAACAAAACTAAAACTTTCTAAGCCTTGCTTCTACAAACAGATACAGCAAGTAGTAATCATGTCTTCAGATTTACATGATCTTCAACTGCTGCAAAATATGACAACAGAGTATTAATTTCTAAGTTTTGTGTAATGACAATCTTAATGTATTTTTCATAGGTGGATTTTGTAGATACCAATATTATTATTACCGAACCTTATTTTAACTTCAGTTCAATACAAGAATCCATGAATGAAATTCTATTTGAGGAATATCAATTTCAGGCAGTTCTTAGAGTCAATGGTAAGTCTGTTTCATTCAAGTTCACACTTACATATTTTGAAGGTTAACCTTGTAAATGAATAAATAAATATGCATGCATGCATATGCACATATGTGTATATGTAAAGGTAGCGAATAAATTACTTTGCTTCCCTCCTGGCTCTTGAGTAATATGCTCCTATATGTACTCTTAACTGGATTAAACTATTTTTTAAAGAAATTTCAGCTATACTCTTATACTACTTTCTTAAGAGTGTCATAGTATATAATTAAAGGAAATCTGAGGAAAGTCAGGATGACAGAGATAATGGATGGATTTTGAAACAGGATAACACTTAAGAAAGTCTACCAAAGATTTGCATGAGGACTTTGATACCTTTCCTTTTTTTGTGGGGTGGTAGTTTTTTGTTTGGTTTTGTTTCCCATTAGCAAATAAAATGTAGCGTTACAATCATGAAATGTATCTTACAGGGAAGGTGTAAATGATGTCACAACCCTTGTGAAAGATAGTTGGACATAGGATAGGTTTGATAAATTGTGGTGTGATCAGTCTGCTTGGACTTTAGGAGAGGAAACTGAACATGGACGGGAATTCTAGAAAAAGAATAAATGGGGGCATATACGATACTTTATTTTATCCACTGTCAAAATTAATTCATTTATGAGGTGTGAGGTCTTGGAAGTCTGTCAAAGGCATTTAAAATATAAAGCAAGTACACTTGCATATCAATGTAAATTCTAAAAGTGTATATTCATGCAAAAATTGAATGAAATTTTCTGTATTTCAGCTGGAGCTCTTAGTGCGCATAGGTATTTCCGGGATAATCCATCTGAGCTGTGTTGTATCATTGTGGATAGTGGATACTCTTTTACACACATTGTACCTTATTGTAGAAGTAAAAAGAAGAAAGAGGCAATCATCAGGTAAACTGCAGTATATATTTTCTAGAATAATTGTTTGCTATGCTTGAAGTTAATAATGACAGAATTCCATGTGTTATTCCTTTTCTGTAGGATTAATGTTGGAGGAAAACTCTTAACTAACCATCTAAAGGAGATCATCTCTTACAGGTAAAGCATGCTGATCATCATCTTGAGACTTGGTATGAAATGAGCTAGAAGTTTGTGGGGGTATTCTTACTGGTTCTGTGAATTTTAGATTAAATGCTTTTTAAAGGAGAAGGGAATTTTTGTCTGTTATAATCTGGTGGCTGCCGTCTCAAGCTTAAGCTCAAGATGAATTAAGATGAACTTAAGCTCTATGAAGAATTAGGCTGTTAGTTTTTAAAGTGCCAGTGCTTTTGAAGTTGCTGAGGTTACCTGTGCGTTCACAATTATCCAAGTCCTTATGTGGTTTCTGAGATGTCTTAGTAGATCATCAGTCAGTTGGCTAACTGATTCTATCAATACCACAAATAAAATTCAATAGGATCAACTTTTCATTAGGATCCTTTGGCTTGGAACTTTATCTAGGTAAAGGTCTTTGGTAGTAGAACTAACTGCAGAATTATGGCTATGCTTGTTATGAAGACTTTGGGCAAATGCAGGTAGATGTTTGTAGTTATTGAACTGTGCAGTGGGAAAATACTGAACTCCTGTAGGCCAGGAATACTTTTGTAAATTGAATACAAGTTTTAAATACTGAGACAGTAGCTTTCTGCGACTTGAAAACTATGGTTGCTCATTTCCAGTGGAAAACTGGACAGGTTTCTGGACGGACGCTAAGACTTAATTATTCTCAAACTTCTGTGGGTTTGGTTTTTGTTTTTCACAGGCAGCTACATGTTATGGATGAAACGCATGTAATTAATCAAGTGAAAGAAGATGTGTGTTACGTTTCTCAAGACTTTTACAAGGACATGGACATTGCCAAGTATGTATACCGTGGTACTAAATGTAAAAGTTGATACTTTTGAGTAATCTATTTGTACAAACAAATAAAACTATGCTTTTAATCAGAAAATTTTCCAGTTAAGTCAAAGGAAGTCTTGTCAGTATAAAATAGTTTGGATTTAGAACTTGTCCTTTATTCTGTTGTATTTTACTTTCTTCTCTTTCAGATTGAAAGGAGAGGAAAATACTGTAATGGTAGATTATGTTTTGCCAGACTTCAGCACAATCAAAAAGGGATTTTGTAAGGTAATGATTGTTTGGTTTTTGAAGTATTTTTTTTACTGTTCCCCTGCACAAGTCTAGTAGAGAGGTTAAAAAGACTTTCTTTTTTCTAATGCTGTATTGTAACTTCTTTCTGTGTGGTAAAGTTTTCCTTAGGAAGTTGAGGTGAAAATTAAATACTATTTTTCCAGCATAGCATTTTATGTTCTATTATTCAATACTTGTAGCTTTCTATGCTTGTGCTCTCTCATACAACTTATCCACATCATTATTGTTGGGTTTTTTTTAAAGTTAAGTTGTAAAATATTTTCTCTGCTTTGATACTTTTTTGTAAATCTCTGAATTTCATTTAAATGCCCTAATATGTAGAACGTTCAAAGTCATGTTATAGAAGAGCCTGAAAAGTCTTCATACCAATGAAGACAATTTAACAATTTTACCTCATTTACCGAGTTGGCCATAGTTTCAAAAGCAGTTCCAGTATTTTAAGGCCATTCTTGTGCATACCTATTTTATTTTGCTTTAGGCAAAACAGGAGTTGATAAGAGCAAAGTCACTTCAGATTTAATACCAGAGTATGTATTATTCTTAAAAGATATGCTGATAATACCACTTAACGTAGAATATATTGCCTACCTCTGCAGTACATGAAAAAGATTAGCTGAATACTCTAGGATGTAATTTCTTTTCTTAAGCAGTGGCTGCTATTCATGTCTTTAATTTAGCCAAGGGAAGAGATGGTGTTAAGTGGAAAATACAAGACTGGTGAGCAAATACTTCGTCTAGCAAATGAAAGATTTGCAGTTCCAGAAATACTCTTCCACCCTTCAGATATTGGTATTCAAGAGATGGGAATTCCTGAAGCCATTGTTTATTCTATTCAGAATTTACCTGAAGGTATAACCTAAAAGTATTTTGAAAAGTGTGTGTGTGTTGTGTTGTTCTGTTTTGGGAATTTTTTGGTTTTGTTTTTTGTTTTATTTGGGTTTTTTAAGCATCTAAAGTGTCTTAAGAAGCTAGTACTCTCAATATGCCAGTTACTAAGTTGTTGTGTACTGTTCTGTCTTCTGGTGTGTGTCATATACTCTACAACAATTGTCTCTAAGTTCCTCTGTTAGGCAGACACAGTTTTGTGATGATTCATTGATTGGTTTCTATGCTAGTTTCAGTTAATCACTATAGACTTTATTCTTCTCAACATCCTTTTCTAACGTGACCTATTTGTCTTGGATGCTGATGATGGAATATACTTGAAATTAGTTTTAGTTGTGTTTTGAAATACCTTTCTTCACTGGAAGATGTGAAAAACCAAACTGACAAGAAAAATGAAACTGACCCAACTCAGTAATTTAAACACCAAAGTAGAAAACCTTTCTGACTGCTGTGTTTGTCAGAAGCAATACTAAAGCTTTCATTTTACAGATGATGTACGTGGAATTAATGTTACTATTACAAAGAACACTTTCATAGGTTTTATGATATCACATAAGTACCGCGGCATTGAGGCTATTATTTTGTACTCTTAAAAAAATTGTATCATTTACAATACTTTTTGAAAGGGGAATTATGTTGGCAGACATGAAATTTAATAGACAATATAAGAAAACAGTAGTGATCAAAGCCAAATTCTAAAAATCATGAAGAACAGAGGGTGGTTGATCACTTTCTTGTATTTCTCAATAAAAGTATTTAACTGATGCGATAATTAGAGGATCATAATATTCTTCTATGCCTATTTCTTACTTCTGTTCCAATTCATAACAAAAGTGGGAAAAAACCCTTTAAATGTATATTCAGTCTCTAACTACAGATTTACTTATTTATTTTACAGAAATGCAGCCTCATTTCTTCAAGAACATAGTTCTGACTGGGGGAAACACCCTTTTTCCAGGCTTCAGAGATCGGGTTTATTCTGAAGTTCGCTGTCTTACTCCAACTGATTATGATGTGTCTGTTGTTCTTCCTGAAAAGTAAGTTCTAAACTGTACGGAACAAGCTTAGTCCTTCTAGCAGAACAAACTAGGAAGTAGGATTTCTTATTCTGATTAAAAAGAGATTGAGTAAAGGGGTTAATTATTAAGTGAACCAAAATTGTACAAGAAGAATGTTTGAAATCGGCATATTTTTAGACAAACCAAATTAATTAGAGACTATCTGCTTGCCCGGTACTTTGCCTAATGAGGACAAGCATATAAGTAGGTGTTTTCAGGATCAGTCTTTTTATTGTAAACAGATATTTTGTCATTAAGTAGATATATAGTATGATAGTAGATACATAAGTATGCAAGATTAGAGTCTGGTCTTTTACTTAGAAGAATTTTCAGCATCTGAAAGCTGCCATGTCATTATTAATGTAGCCACCTCAGGGATTTGGAAGGGTAACATCTCTGCAGAGAGAGAGTATACAGTTGAGACAAAACGAGTATATCTTGAAAGTACAAAATCTTCACTTTCTAAAAGGTATTGTTAAAGAGTATTTTAAAATATTATTAAGGAATCACTATCTGTGCAAAGTAAATAAAAAGACATCTCCACTTCCTGTCCCCTTCACACCTGCCTCCGAAGAGGCACTTGCTTTTTATAAAAAGCAAAGTCAGTTAGCCCTGCTAAAATTTCAGACTTTGTCTCAGAACTTGTCTGGAGCTGAATGGTTTGATTTAGTAATCAAAAATGTATTTTTAAATACATATGGCTAAATAAAGTCTTTGAACTCATGACTGCATAATTCTATTTTAAATGAGCTTACAGATGAGTAACAATAGCTTTGTTCATTTTTCAGCCCTATTACTTATTCTTGGGAAGGTGGGAAGCTGATTTCTGAAAATGATGATTTTGAAGACATGGTAGTAACTAGAGAAGATTATGAAGAACATGGACACAATATCTGTGAAGAGAAATTTGATATATAGGTAGCATAGGGGATACATTGTTATTTCATTGTTTTACTCAGAATGGAACTCTCAGCCTGTTTTCCCTCAGTTAGGATTGTGTTTTAGCTTTCCTGTATTTAAGTGGGTTGGGAAAAAGTCATTTCCAGAGTTTAAAAATAAAGTTTTACAAACCTAATATGTTCATTGTCATTTCATTATGTTCTCATCTTTTACTGATAGCTTCATTGTATTCTTATTGCAGAAAACCTCAATGTGTGAAGCAGTAAAAAGAGATAGTGAGAAGAAATAATGTTTTTATTTTTTTTTCAAAATGAGTATTATTTTAACTCATGCATGCAATTGAATGGACATTAAACACATCTCAAAAGGTCTCCTGTGAGATGTGAAAAGGAATAAATGAATTTTATTTTTGGTTATTTTAGTGAATAGCCACGAAAGGAATGTACTTGAAATATGACCACTGCTATTTAAAGTATACTTAGGCTTTGAGAAAAGAGTAATTTGAACAATTCCTTTTTAAAAAGGGGTTTGGGGCTAGTAGGCTGTGGGGTTATTTTTGTTAGGTTTTTGTTTTTAAACAATGGCTGAGCAAATAGGCTTCCTGCCGAGACTCCCCTCACCATTCTGAAAAGGCAACATCAGAAGCTGTCTAAGGTGAGAAGCTTGCAGCTGTGTCCTGGGCCATCCCATCTGTGTCCTATCCCATGCATTCCAGATAAACACAAATGCCCCAGCCTGTACCTGTTATTTCTGTTTACAGAGCAACGGTGGCATCAGGTCTGTTGTGCTGTCAGCGTGTGCAGCATTGCATGCAGGAGGGGAAAGAGCAACAGTACAGGGCCGTAGCCAGAGAGAAGCCTGGGAGGGCTGTGCGGGTAAGGGGGTGCCCCAGTTGGCTTGCTTAGCTGCCAGGATAGAGGCAGGCACTCCCACAGGGCAGATTAGGGACACATGGGTGCTGACACTGATCTTGGCATGATGCAGCTCGTGGCCACAGGGCATTTGCCCTTTTAGTAGGGCTGGTGATACTCAGTGGTCTCAGATTTGCAGAGGAGCATCCTATTCTCAGCTGAAGTCTCATACTCCCTTTCTTGTCTGCCCCTATGTAAAACCAGTAAGTATACTTGCGTGGTACGCTTACCTAGCTTGGAACAAAGAGCACTGACTGACTTAGGCAGCTAATGGCAGGGATCAAGCAGAGGCTTCACTGAATTTCATGCCCCTCCAGTGATCCTTGACAAGGCTCAGAGAGGGGCACTTTGAAGCACAACTAGATACCATCTGAAAAATTGTTCTTTGTGATGATCTGTGACCCAAGGGTAGTTGATGTAGTTGAATTGTCAGATAGCAAAAAGATAGAGAGATATCCTCATCTCTGGCTTCCATTTCGTTTCCACTTCAGATAAGCAGGTGGAGTTAGAGCCCCATTGTTACGATCAACGTTACAGATTCGCAGGAGCTGCTCCTGTTGCAAGCCAGAGGCCTCAGCATAAGGGCAATATAAAAGAGAAGCCAATACTCCAGAGAATGGGAGGTCTTGATGATGAGCTGCTTCAATAAAATAGCTTTCTGAGATGATCTTTCTTCTTGACCATTATCTTTTTGACTTTAGACTGCCAGCTCACGGTGGCATTTCTCCAGTCTAACCTGCTGAGAGGGATGGAAGAGGTGCCCTCATCCTCCTATTAGTGGCTACATGAGCCACACAGGAGGCAGATATGGTATTCCTGCAGGAGAACACCACCTACAGATTCTTGGGACGCAGCTCTTGTATTACTGTGTGTTAGAAAACACAGGACACCAGTAAGTCTAGTACACTGTGATTTTGACAGCCACATGTAGAGGCCTTTGTGTCTCACCTCTAGTGTTTTTTAAATAACCACACAAAATTATCAGTATGCTTTAGCTGTGACTTAAAATAAGGAAATATGTACGTTGTTCCCATAAAAGCAATGATGAATCTTTTCCTTGGTAGGAGCAAACAGGAATGCTCTATGAATAGAAGGAAGCCTCCTTACTTTGAAGGTGGCATCACTTGTTCTTTGATAAGACTGCACTGGAAAGCACCTCTAGACTAAACTCTTCACTCTGGAAATTTTCAAATTCATACTGGCAATTAATTTGATAGCTCTGTGCTAGAAATCATAAATAGAAATGAGCAAGAGGTCCAAGTTGCCCTATCAGATAATTCTGTGTCAAATATTGTCAAGAATAAATGACAGAGAACTTTCTAATGAAATAGTTTTCTTAATTTTGGAATGTAACTGAAAGCGTAACAATGAGACACAGTAATCTGTAGCTCACCAAACTTGCATACATAAATGTGAAATATCATGTTTCTTTCAACAGAAGATTAAAAATTAGTAGACCTCTCAGGGTAGGCGAATAAAATAGGGCTCTCAAGAGCTCTTCCTTTCCTTTGCAGAACTAGATCAATCTTGACATCTTGTCCCATGAACTGAAGGAAAGCACCTGGCAGCTATAAACTCCTGCTGTCCCCTGAAGCCTTTCCTTTCTATTTGATACCTGATTCCCACTGAGCTACCCACTGATACCCACTGAGCTGATACCCACTGAGCTACATCTTCCTTATGAAAGCAATATTAAATGATAGACTGATTCACTGATTTTTATGCAATGCTTTATTATCATCTTTAAATTAACACAAGAAAATTCTAATCAGGTCACAAAGTGCAAGAATTTGTTTTGTAAAACCACGCTTTTTCCCAAAGCAATTCCCAGTCCATCTAGCCTACAAATTACCATGTTACCACCCCTCCCTGTTACCAGGTTCAGTATTTTGAGACCCAGTAAAGGGTGCTGAAGAAAGAGGGGGAAAAAAAAAAAAAAAGCCACGTAAAATCCCCTTCTCCCACTACTCAACACCAGAAGCACTTAATCAGGAAATCCTTTCCTGTTTACAATTCTCAATAACCTACTTCTGTACATGCTCCCCTTTCTGGGAGAATGACCAAAACCCTGACACAGGGCTAGAAAAAAGAATATGTGGCCCTGTAGTCTAGTAATCAGGGTATTCACCTCTGAAAGGTGAAACTTGGTGTCTTTTCCTCCTCCAGAAATTATTTATTTTACACTAGACAGTCGCTGTTCAATAACAAGTGCATAAACAGGGATTCATGGACAGATTTCAACTACATTCCCTGACTTCTGACAGGGCCAGGTCATTTAAATAAGGCCACTTGAAATATGCAAGTTAACACAACCTATTACCTGTACATGGTTGGTTAGATCTAACAGTGTAACCATTTCAATTTATAAAATAAAAGAAAACAGCACTTGTTTTCAGAAGGCTTTGGTATCCTGGTAACTGACCACATGTTTTAAGAGCAGTTGAGGATGTAGATACCTAAAGAAGCATATTCACAATAAAAAAAAAAAATCATGGTCACAGCGGACATAGTCCAGCAAAGGGGCCATGAAAATGATAAGGGAATGGAGCACCTGTCATACAATGAAGAGGCTGAGAGCTGCAATCGTGCCTGCTCCTAACATTTTTGACATACTTTGTACGTTTTTACAATGCTCATAGGAGTTATAATCTACAGTTTAAGATTAGATTACAGTTAAATTATGAACTACGGATAGAAAAGATTAAAAACCTCACTGGCTATGAACCCAAGCATGGCTCTGAATGCAGACTTGGCTCAGCTAGAAAGCCCCTGGGTCATGGGACAGAAGGAAAAAGTGCCAATCCCAAAACTCAAAGCAGCACAAGCAGTGTGCCATTATTACTAACTTAAAAGTAATTAAGTACATTTTGCTTACAAGAGTCATTAATTAGAATGAATTCTTTTTAGCAGCATAGTAACTTTGACACTTTCCTGCAAATGAAGATGTAAGGACATAAGAAGAAAAGGTTTCTATCATGAGCAATTTTCATATGCATCCCTCCCTTTAAAAAAAATAAATCTGTATTGATGTCTAACTATTTAGAATACAAAATTCACCTGTAGTTTTACAACCACTACAATGGATAAGAGAATGGTATTTTCGGAATTCTTTAATTAATTTCTTCTTCTGCTTCAAAGGAATAGTGGGGTCATTGTCCAACTCTTGAACCAATGCGAGAAGATACTGATTTGTTTGTTGTTTTTGATCTTCATATTCTTTAGTTGTCACACGCTGGCAGAAGGTGAAGCCTTTGTAAGAAATCAGAGGTTCAGGTTAAGTTCAATGCGTCATACCAGAGCCTGATTAAAAAATATGATCAGAAACATAGGTATATCTATAGCCCAGTTCAGATGTGACTACAATTCTCTACAAACAAGGTAAAACACAGCCCTGTACTGAGCATGGCTGAACATCTAAACATTAACCACAAAAACGAAATTGAAAAGCAGTGTCACAATTGCATTATCACAGATGATTTTGTATTGCAAACAGGCCTGCCAGACAAAGAGCCAATACAGTTCTTGCCAACAGAAGCCATAACAAAGAATGCTACATGACAAGAATGGCACCTTGCACTTGTCATGATCCAGTGATTTCCTGAGAGTGAATCAGATCTGTAGCAAGGTCCAGTACATAATGCAAGTGAATAAATACTTTGGAGAAACAGTTGTCTCTCAACCACACCTCTGAATTCAGAAATACAATTCAGGAACTTCTAGGTGACTATACAGCTCAGCACAGTTTGGGCACCAGAAGCAGAGGTGATGAAACAGGCAGCAGTTCAGGATGAGGGCAGAGCAAGGAATTGGAGCCTGAGAGTTACACAACTTAAGTGCTATTTATCTATAAAAATGTTGTGAACCTATGCAGTAGAGCACGCACCCTAAAAGGAATCAAGCCCCATCGCTGGACAGGTGAGCTCTGGCCCAAGGAAAGGCTGGCGTTGAGCTACTCCACAAGTTAGGGAGCAAGCTGGCTGAACAAATGTCAGTTGCCTGAAGGGAAAAAAATTTTTACTATTCCTTCTGTACAAACACCATCTTCTTAAGGCTTCACATAGAGAGTGGTAATAACCCAAGCTGCCAGAATTTTTATGGAGACCTGTCCTTCCATTCTTTTACAATGAGTCTGTCAAACACCAATGTGAAATATTTTTAAGGTTTAGTAGAGTCAGATCAAGAAAAGGTAGCTCTTTCAAAAGGGAAAGCTTAACAACTCCTGGCAAAGAGATTAACTCTTCAAACCAGGGTGGATCTTTTAGTGCAGTGGTTTCAAGTGGCTTCACAGATTAAAACCAACCCCAGAATTCCCTCAGTGTTTTATATTTCCAGCAGACCCAAGGATTGCCTTCCTGCAACAGGCAGACCCCTTTTCTTATCAGGGTCCCCTCCATGCTCCCACCTGCACTTCAGAAGCTCACCAGCTAGGAAAGCTCAGTAGCTCCCAGAAAAGATTTTCCTCCTACCTTCTCCATGAGAAAAGGGAAAATGATATCAGAATATGAGGTACAGAGGAAAACAGGAACATGCCATGCCGGAGAGCTCACAATCAGAACAAACTAGCTATTTCAACAAGTAGACAGAATCTATATGCAGTTACAGATTGAAACTCCAAAATGCAGAAGGGAGAATATAGTATGAGGTTTGTACTTTGATTGTCTGTTCAGCATGCTGATGGAGACCACACAGGCTCCAAGAATACCACAGACAGGCAACTCCTTCCTCTGTTGCTAATCCTTGTATTCTTTGGCTACATAATAGGTGATACTCAGAACACTGACCTGGAAGCAATTTGGCCACATTTGAGAACCCAATACAGATGGTAAAAGATTCTGTACCAAAACTACTTCTCGGGCAGCTACTGTATTTAGTATTAAACAGCACAACAACTTACAGTGTTATTCAGTTCTGTAATGGTTTCTCTTCAGTGTTTAAGCACATAATGCACTGGCAGTACAGAAGTCAAAAGGAAGAAGGTAACGAGTCAGGCACAAATTCAATTATTTTAATCAAAGTGCTGGAAGATACTTTTGGCATCAAGGCCAGGTGAAGTGTTAGCTCGTAAAAGAAATGAGCTGGAAAATATAAATTCCACATACACACCAAGTGTCAAAAGCCTTTTTTTTAGGCTACAATACCCTTCTGTAAGTCTTAAACTCTTAATAAACTTTGCACTCACACAGAAAAGGAAGAGTTCTTCAAAACACTAAACAACCGAGGTCTGTACTCAAGACATCTATCAGAACCCCAAACTACTGAGCTCTATGAGAATTTTTAGGTGTTTTGTGGCAGAAATATCAGAATGCTGTTCCTAAATATAAAATCACATCAAATTCACACACCAAATTAGAAGCATGTCGCTTCAGGAAGCACATTTTGCATTAATTTGTCCAGAAGTAATTATTTGGTAAAAAAAATTTGTCATGTATTCAAACTAGATAATTAATAGAGTCTCTGTTCTCTAATATTCACAGGTCGGTGTTTTCCTTATAGCAGATAATTATTTGGTGAATTAGCCACTAATCACTTTAATGCTTCACTTCTAACAAAGGAAAAGAACACAGTCAGTGCAAAGTTATAGTCAGCTGACAATAAATCAATTTGTATAGAGAGGTTTACACAAAAATGCATTATGACATCACCTACCTGAATTGATATCTGGATCTTGTCCTTCTAGCAAACTCTCAAGTCTCCTACTAGTTAGTTCCAGAAGAGTTAAAGGAGTCTGAAAATAGAATCAGACAAAGAAATAAGTTACAAAAACAACAGTTCTGTATTTTTGAGAATCTAAAGCATTCAAATGATCAATTTAAAAATCACATGATTAACTGCAGAAGAATCTATGCCGATATTTATTTCAGTACACATTCAAAATCTCTCAAAAAATTGCAGTGAAACACACATACATGTGCTTATTCCTAATACTCCTAGCCAAAGAAATAGGAGGCAAGCTGTTCTAGATGTTGCTTTCTATTGAACTACGGCAAAAACTGTAGTGTAGACCTTGAACTGATTTCAGCTTATATAATACACAAGGCTCTCAACTGTAGTTGTGAAAGAGCGAGCCACCATCTACTCTGCTGCCATTGCTATGAAGTAGCGGGCACTTCATTGGCCAGATCTGCCTCCAGCTCCAAACTTGAATCAAAGCCTTAACCCTCATGTGAGAACCCTTAACAACAAAAAGAAAAAAAGCACAAAAGAAAAGTATTTGGTTTGGGCTGTGTATTAACATATACAAAACTCACAGTAACTACTTGATACTTTCAAACTGAACTGGAGCTAATTAAAAAAAAAAAAATCTCCTATGTCTCATTTGTGCTTCTGACCTCAGCTGAAGAATGTGTTGTATAAGAACAAAAAAATATTTTACTGAAACCAAATCAATGTTTTTGTGAGGGTTATTTGTAACAATAAACATCTAGAGCATTTTACAGCTATCTTACAACAGCTGAGAGAATTAGTTCCTCTATCTAGTTTAGTGTTTTGATGAGGAATTTTATAGCTGAGGAAAACAGCAGCAAAGCATCACAACTTTAATGTTGAATACAGAATGTCAATATAGGGTCTGAGAAGGTTACATCTTTTCACATGTGACAATATGACAGAATGTAAATAAAGGAGACTATAAAATACAGCTGCATATTTACATAACTGATCAACTTAAACAGAAAGGCCATTTCATTTTGTGGTTCTACTTATTTTCTTTAACTTAGAAGTTAACATTTCAAAATACCAAAAGGAACTCTTTAAGAGAGGCCAAAGCTGTATGTGTACACTGGGGCACCACAGCATGCCATTCCATATATCACTCAGAGTATGTCAGCTGACTTCTACAGGAGAGAGACACTAAGAAGCCTAAAATGTGGTAGAGAGCCATCAGAAACAAGGTGCCAAAAGGCCTCTGTAAAAATTTGCCAAGACTTCAAATATTTTCTTAACACAAATGATGCAAATAAAGAGAGAGGACACTGCATATGAAGGATTGCAAAGCTCTCAAAAAGTTGTCTGAAATAGGTTCTCACCCTACTTGACCATATTATTAAACTGTATGTTGTGGTTTCAGTTGGGATAGAAGTAACTTTTTTAATAGCAGCTGGTATAGCACTGTTTTGGATTTGGGATGAGAAATACTTTTGACAGTGCACTGGTGTATTTAGTTGTTGCTAGGCAGTCAAGGCCTTTTCTGCTCCTTATATAGTCCTGCCAGCGAGTAGACTAGGGGTGCACAAGAAGTTAGGAGGGGACACAGCCGGGACAGCCGACCCCAACTGACCAAAGGGATATTCCATACCATGTGACGTCACGCTCAGTATATAAAGCTGGAGGAAGGAGGAAGTGGGGGGCGTTCAGAGTGATGGCGTTTGTCTTCCCAAGTAACTGTTATGCATGATGGAGCCCTGCTTTCCTGGAGATGGCTGAACAGCTGCCTGCCGATGGGAAGCAGTGAATGAATTCCTTGTTTTGCTTTACTTGCCTGCATGGCTTTTGCTTTATCTATTAATCTGTCTTATCTCAAACCACAAGCTTCTGCTCGCTTTTACGCTTCCGATTCTCTCCTCCATCACAACTGGGGTAAGTGAGCGAGCAGCTGCATGGTGCTTGGTTGCCAGCTTGGGTTAAACCACAACATTGTAACACATGGAATATTAAACTCTGCTCCTCAGAACTCTCATCTCCAAAAAGGGACTTCATGGCATTCAACATTTAAAATGACAAAGCCAATGAGGTAAGGAAAATGCTACCTTGAAAAGCTCCGAGTGATTGTCCATCAGAAACTGAGTCAGCAGTTCTGCCTGTGGTTTTGACAATGTCTTATTTTGTATGATGAACTTTGTGCAAGTCTTGATGATCACTGATCTGTTATCAAACTAGAAAAAGAAGAACTCAGATTTGGCATTAGATTTACTTGCAGTGCGCCAGCAAACACTAAGTATAACAGGATGCTATCAGCGGGAGGAACAGCCTGATATTTGTTTTAAAACAGATCACATTGGAAGGCGGTAAACAGAATACTTCTAATTCTGGAGAAAAAAGTTAGCTTTATTATAGGTAAGTGCTATTTCCCACACTAAACATGACAGATACTTACCTGTTTTTGTAATTTGTAGCCCTCAGATTCAGATGCAATGGCTACAAATGTCAGGAGTCTATGTAGTTCTTCTCGGATATTTGGTGCTAATAATTTTAAATAAAGTTGTGATGCCTCTAGAGCTTGATCTGTTTTTCCTTTCTCTGCAATGGAGTAAAACAGCGTATCCAGTGCAACTGCTCATTTTCAGAGTCAAGAATACATATTTAAATTCCAATACTAATCCCTTTTTTTTTTTTTTATTTTTCCCTCCAAACAAAGCAGGTTAATCTCAGCGACTTCTAAAGCCTTTTGACAAGACTCAACACAGCATTTAATCAACATAAGCTTAAAACCTTCATCCCATACCCAGTCAGGGAACAGATGTACTTGGACAATATATACAGGACATTACTACATTGTGTACAATGTGCAAACACTGAAGTGATGTTTGTACTGTTTGTGTTTATACATCTTTGTCTTATATTCCAGGATTAATCTCAAATTAATTAGTGATCCAAATAATCCTAACTTTCTCATTGCTTTGGGGTTTTGTTTGTTTGGGGCTTTTTGGGTTTTTTTGTTTTGTTTTGTTTCTTTCCTTTGTTTTATGTTGGTTGTTGTCCACACACTCACCCCACCCCTTTTTAAGCCATTAGGTTTTAAGTTTCTCAAGGAAGTGTGATAAGATGGAAATAACCTCTTATAAACCCCCCTTTAGATTATAATTCTACTTATCTTCACTTCGAAAGTGAGGAACTATCAAAAAAGTCAAGTAATTTTCTAAGGAAAGAGAAAGAAGAGGGCAGATACAGGAATAGAACCTACATATGATTTTCTGGTCTCTATCCATTACTGGAACAGAGATTATATTTTAAAAGAAATAATCCAGGACTTTCAGGGGTGTACCACAAGCCCTTTGAAACCATCTTTGTTTAAAAAGAACACCAAAAGAACAAGTAAGTGACCCTTTTCCAAAAGGAGGGCAAATAAAAAAGCAGGAAAGAGAACTGCCAAAGGATATGATCAAGACAGGTAAGAGTGTAGATATGAAGACAGGAAAGAAAATGATTTCTAGAGAAAAGCTTAAGAGTTTCTCTGATCTGTGAATACAGCCTTACAGAGTTATTTTAAAAGACTGGGGGGGGGAGAAAAGTTCCAATGCAAAAAGGTTCAATAAACCACATGGACTAGTGTGACCATTCATCTGTAACATAAGTACCTCTAGATCTGTTTATTTTAAAGGCAGCAAGCACAGCAACTTGTTTGCCTTCACAACAGATCTGTATTATCAGCCATCTTATATCAAACTGCTTAACAACTGCGGAAAATACATACATTGATAACAAACTGAAGTTGTACTTTAGCTAAATGCAGCACTTCTCATGTTGATTTTGAAAATGTTTTAAATATGTAGATGTTCATAGCTAGTTTGAGCTCTCTCTTGCACTAGAGTCAGAACAACAGCACTGGATTCTGCTTGAAAATTATTAGAATCCAAGTGGTTATGCACTGATGACCATAATTTGTTCCATAGCACTGAGAGGGAAAAACGGTTGTAAAATAGTTAAGCACAACCTCCTAACGGTGATCGAGTATAAACTAGAACACAGCTGAGGATCCAAGAACATAGGCTAACATCTTCAAACAGAGGATCATTTCCTAATGATAAAATTATGGGTACCACTTCATTGAAAAGGAATAAAGCATTAGAAACTGCTTGTGAGAGTCTTACTCGAGTTGGAAAGATGACAAAATTAAAGCAAGAATAAGAAAGCAGAATAGCCCTAGAGATTCATGGGTCATGTAGTTTAGACAAAGCAGATACTTCATAAGAAAAAGACCTACAGGCAACTAAAGCATTACAGTAACTCAGGAGAATTATGACACTGCCTTTTCCCTTGCCTACAGATTTGGCTGCTTTGATTCTCGATTTTAGTAATATTCTATAATATTGGTGTATCTCAGTTTTGTATTTGAAGTATGTACATGAACTATAATATCTTTAATATAAATGAACATCCAGAAGAAGTCACCAGTAGCCAAGTCAGTTATTTCAAATTAGCATTCGTGTTTTGTGGATAGGTTATGTAATTTTGCAATAGTTTTCCTTTCATGACTTCTATTATAATTTGATTTTTTTTCTCCTTAGCAAAATACTACTTATAAAAATATTGCCTTTTGTCTTTTAATGAGGTTTTGGCCACAGGATCCACCACTCTGCTCCAATTTTTACACAGGCCAGCTGTGTCCCTATGTCAGTAAGCTTGTCATAGCTCTCCAAAACTTGAAACTTTCGATAACACTCTGTAAACCCTACAGAACTGAAAAAGTAACGCAACCTATTTAGGGTAGGATTAATCTTAAACTTGTATTTACACTGAACCCTTCTGTTTTACTTGTGAGCATATGTGGTGAGGGTTTTTTGGGGGAATCACAGCCTGAATCACAATCTCACCAGCCCCTTTTATAATTTTAAATAACTTCTATTACTAAAAAAAAAAATAATCCAGAACTTACAAAACCTTATTTTGGTCAACACGAAAACTTTACAGCAATTATTTTACTTTTATGTTAGTAGTCACAAGTAGCAATAAGAGAAATTCTGACTAGAGGTAAGACATTTTCACAGTGAGAGTAGCTATATATTGAAAGAGGTTACCCACAGAGGCTGGTGAATATCTACCCTTGCAGATTTTAAAAATTCAGCTGGACCAGGCCCTAAGCAACTTGATCTAACTTTGAAATTTGTCCTTGCCTTGAGCAGACGTTCTGACTAGAGACCTTGAGCGTTCCCTTCCAACATATAAATTGAAGTACCTCTGCAATAGCATTGTAAATGATGTTACGATTCAATCAATTAACGCTTATTAAGTTCCATCCTTTTTACAGCTTTCACTTGCATTTTTTGTCCCAGGTTGCTCTTACCTATAAGTTCTATAATCCCTGAATGAATATCGAGATCCTGAGTGGCAAGAAGGGAGTCCTTCTTTTGACTATAATACTTTATTATAATGTCAAAAAGAATCTTCTTGTATATATTCAGACTGCTCGGTTCGTTAGCGCTTTGAGGTAACTGCTGACTAACCATCACTATGAATTGGTCTGGGAAATACTCCAAGCATTCAATTGCAGCATAGAGCCATTTGTCAAGCCTGCAGAAGGAAAAGTTAGTTTTAAAACTTTAAAATACTCTGCCAATTCTTATTTAATCCTTTAAAGAAAATTTGATAGAAATAACCACGCACGTATAGTCACGTATTTGAACCACAGCATTAAACTTGTTGCTTATTAAGCAGTTTATGTAATTTATTTCACTACAGTACTTCAAGAAACTGCTCAAAATAAGCAACTTCCATGGTTCTCCCACGCTATAGTCAATATACCTGAGGTATGCCCAAATCCAAACAAGTTGCAATCATGCCAGACTGTCACTGACCCCAGGACACTTGCCTGATTTGGCTAGTATTTAAAATCAAACACCACTCCACTATTACTTCAACACACACAGTGACAACCCACCAGGGCTAACCAGACTGAAAAAGCAAAGGACTGAATCTTCAGAGAAAAGACACAAGAGAATTACTTTGAAAACAGAGAAAATAAAAATAGTTTAAATCCCAGAAGACTGCGGAAGAAGTTTACTATATGACCTACTAAAAAGACATGAGTTTCATAAGCATTTGTTGCCTGTATGACTTAACTAAGGGAGAGAAAATGTAAGGCAAATCTAAAATTCAGGTAGACAATTCATTGTTCAAAGAGGCTGGAAAGTCAGACGAAAAAGTCACTAACTTAACCATTTTGTCTAGAAGAAAGCTAAAATCCTATAACTGTGGGGGGCAGAGGGAGAATTACTTTTACTTGACTCTCTGAATATAAAATAATTTGAACTGAATCAATAAATAGTATTTGCATCTTCACATGAGTTAAGATCCACAGAATTGTATTTTTATCATGGAGAGCAGAAACAAAGATTTTGAACTTGCTGCTGGACAGCTAGATAAACATGAAATTTTGTTAGAACCACTGCGGCCAACAAGGATTGTTTAACTCTTGGACGCATAAACGGGGTAATACAGTAAAATAGAAATAGGATCATGACCTCCCTTTAGTTATGATCCCATGAGCAGTGCAATCACTGAAAGCAGGATTTGATTACAGTTTTTAACACTACCTGGAGAGCAGGTATTTGATTATATCAACCATAACATGACATGATTTGAAAACTGAAGACAAAAAAATTAAGGTATAAGTCATGCTTGCTCCCTCACCTTCATACTGGGGGCAATTAATCCTACAACTAGTTGTAATACTTGTGACTATTCTTCATAGCTGGAGTTTTCCATTTCTCGTGCATGCTAGAAGTCAGACCTAAATAATATACTGTCTACAAGATGCTACTCCAGCCCCCCACTTAAGTAACTGTAAAGTAGTGAAGGAAGCATTTAATTTTCTTAACACTTATCTGATATACTAGCAAACACACAAATGTTAGAGGTACTTAACACAGAATAATACAGAGTAAAAACAACATGAGCTATTTCAAAAGACATAAACCCACCAATCACGCAAGAAACAAGTACAACAGAAGGATAAAGCTCAAAAGAAACAGTGCTTATTAAGCTATTCTGGGAGAAAAAACTAATTGATTTAAGATGTTACCCAGCAATAAACCTAGTTTGGAACCAGAAGTTTCATTACCTTATATAAAACTCTGAACATATATAAAAATATTAATATTTTCTCCCTGAAGCAACAATACATAAAAAGTCTCTTTAGGTACACAGATTAACATGTCTCACCAACAGATAAAAATTGTATTGATTTGACAGAAACAAGCATTACTGAGATATACACATGAGGAGACATGCCTTGACACATTCATTAAAAGTACATGCTAAAATAGAGATCAGTCCAAATGCAATCAACAGGAACCCTACAAAAATCAGATAACATACAGGGAAAAGAGCACTGACAACATGCAGCCACTGTCACTTTTATATTCTCATGATACAAGCATTCTTCAGTACTACAGCTTAGCTTCCCCTTTTCTGTTGCTAACAATAGCTGCCTTACTGATTTTGTATCTTCACAGCACCACCATCGGGAACTGTGACAAACAAACAAAAACCTCAGAATAATTTTTTTTCGAGTTCCAATATCTGTTATAAAGACCCAAAAGTGAAGTGTCTCATCTAGAAACTAGAAGTGTTTTTGACACTCGAGGTTAAAGTTTTAACATATACTTAAAATCCTCAAGTGTCCAATCCTAAACATATACTTTTTGTGAATTCCCTTACCACTTCTGAAAAGAAGTCAAAGGAGAAAACGTGATCCCTGCCTACAAGTGAAACAACATCTATTTTGTTTACTTAACACAAATCTTTGATCAAGAGTAAAATCACGCGTTTACTAACAAATCCATTTTATAGATGTATAACTTACTCAGGCAAGTTTAAGCTACATGTAACCTCTCTGTCCAGGAAAGTATTTGAGATAATCAGGTCTTCTTCTTTGCCAAAACAGTCTGGTTTTGTCTTCACTGAAGACACCAAGATGTCTTCTAGAAGTGGAACATCAATTAACTGCAGCAGTCGTAGCAGAGTTTGCTGTTTCCAGACATCTTCTATTACTGATACCATAATCAAACAAACAAAGAAGAAAAACCACACCCTCAGAAATAAGATCTTAGGTAAAACACTAATCTTTGTTTTTACTCACTCAAGAATGTTTTAAGTGTTCAGAGAAAACAAGGTAACAGCCTAGTGTGAAGTTTCTGTGTTGGGGAAGAAGGGATCAAAATAGGAATGCTAAGAAAGAAGGCTTTAAAGAGACCACCTCTCTCCCCCATCGTATTAGAATTAGTAATAACCTACTCTAATCAGTAACACATACAAGAAAATGCAAGTGAAGAGCAAAGAAATCATATAATACTTCATCTTAAAACCTATCTCCTTCTGAAGTGGTATTTGCATAAATAGAATAGCACCATCCTGCAAAAACTTAATCCTGATTCATTTCCTTCAGTTTACTTACTATGAGCATTTACCCATTTAGTACTCATTTAGCTACTTTGTCATTAGTGACATGTTAAATTCAAGACTCTGAGGGGCAGCGTTTAACAGAAATGAGGTACTCACTCCACGTAGGTACAGTGAAGAACAATCCAGTTTTAAAAAGAAAAATTCAGTCCTCACCTCTTTTTGAAAGCAGATGAGTTGGTTCATTAACCACGATCTTTGGAGGTAAAGATGCATGAACGTTTATTGATTGAAGAAGGTCCTCTACCCTCTTTTTATTGGCTGCTTCTAATGCTAAGGGGTTTGAAAGTGTTGTTTCACACTTCATTCTGCTTAGGGGGGAAAAAAGAATTAGATGTATAACAAATATGGTCAGGACACATTTATCTTCCTGCCACTTCCTAAATTGCTGTTAAACCAGAACTTTAGGGCTTCATTATATGTGGGGTCTATCCTGCTGCTAGAAAACCAATCACCCATATCTGCTTTGTGGAAAGGGCAAGGATATTGATTCCAAATGCTGTTTATCAGTTCAATTTCTTTTACCAGCTTCCAGCAAGTAGCTCATTCATGCTAAGTCTCAGAATTCAGCATAACTGATTGCAAAACAAAATGATTCCTAGGCTTACGCTACTGTGCCAGCCTCTATTCTAAATAACAAAAGACCGATCAAAGCAGTTTAACATTACCAAGAAATATAAGGTAGCATCTGCAATTTAGGTATGACATTTCTAAAAACTGGCACATAGTATTCAGGTCTCCAATACCTGGGTTAGACAGACATAACTTCATCTACAGTTAACCCACCTTAACAAACAAACAAAAATCAGAACAGTTCAGAACAACTCACTTAGAATATCTTTTTGTCTTCTGTTTGCAGATTTGCTCAGGAGACAAGTTCTCATTGTCTCTATTCTTTTGTGGAAGAAGAGGAGTAAGACTGCTATTTACAAATTTATAGAGACTAGTGTTTGTGTCTTCAAACTCCATTTCTTTCTCATTCTTGAATAGGTAAAGCTTTGCTCCAACTGGCTCAAACACCTTGTGATCCATCAACGCTTGGCATACACGGACTCCCTTCAGCCGAGAAATATCATTACAGCTTAGGTACATGCTTTGCATAAGATGGCTCAGTACCACATCAACAGCATTTGAGCCGGTGAAACAGTTTTTATATGTTTTCAGATGTTGTCTACGTCTTTTGATTTCCACCTGGCTGTGAAGAGCATGAATAATACTATTCCACAGCTGTGTTGCTTGAAAAGGACCATCACAATCTGCAAAATATTTATATGAAAGTTTTAAAATGTTAAACTTTCTAAACGTCTGTAAATGTATTTTTACCGTGACATTAGTTATATATATTTTTTAAAATTCTCCAGAAATCAGCTTAATTTTCCAAAGACAGAGAAAGATAATCCTTCATGGATCACTCCTTCTTCTAAGTTGACTCAGACCCACAACGGTAGAGTCAACAGAAGAAAACAAAAAGACACTAAAAACATGCGAGGAAGGTTATTTTTGTTGTTGTTGCCACACATACTGTAGGTATGTACACATATACATCAATTCATTACAGAATCACAGAATGGCTGATGCTTGCAGGGACCTCTGGGCTCCACCTGGTCCAACCTCCCCTGTTCAAGCAGGGCCACGTCCTGACACCTTTTGAGTATCTCCAAAGGTGGAAAGTCCGCAACCTCTCAAGTCACCAGTGAGAAGGGCCTGTCCCCGTCCTCTTCGCATCCCCCCTTCGTGTACTTGTAGACATCTATGAGGACCCCCTGAGCCTTCACTTCTCCAGGCTGAGGGGTCCCAATCTCTCCCAGCCTCACCTGGAGGAGATGTTCCTCCACTCCCCAGTTCCTCCTCCGCTTATCACTCTCCCCTCAGCAGACGACAAACCAACGCTCGCCATACATTAAACCTTTCCCGC